AATGATGAGTTGAAGAAGTCGATTTTGGAAGAAGGACATCGTAGTAGCCTGAGTGTTCATCCAGGAGCTACGAAGATGTATCAGGACTTGAAAAAGTTGTTTTGGTGGTCAGGCATGAAAAAGGACATTGCTCGTTATGTTTATGCTTGTTTGGTTTGTCAGAAAGCGAAAGTGGAACATCAGAGACCTTCGGGGATGATGCAACCGTTGGAAATTCTGGTTTGGAAGTGGGATTGTATTGATATGGACTTTGTTACAGGTTTGCCGAATACGGCAAGAGGTTTTGACGCCATTTGGGTGATTGTAGATCAGCTTACGAAGTCTGCGCACTTTGTACCGATCAGTATTAGCTTTCCGTTGGAGAAACTGGCAGAGATTTACATTCGGGTGATTGTGAAGCTGCACGGTGTACCGTTGAGCATTGTGTCGGATAGAGATCCGAGGTTCACTTCTGTGTTTTGGAAGAGTTTGCAAAAGGCTTTGGGTACTGAGTTGAAGATGAGTTCAGCTTACCATCCGCAGACAGATGGTCAATCGGAGCGGACGATTCAGACTTTGGAGGATTTGTTGCGGGCATGTGTGTTAGAGAAAGGTGGTACGTGGGATACTCATTTGCCTTTGATTGAGTTCACGTACAACAACAGTGATCATTCCAGTATTGGGATGGCACCATTCCAGGCTCTTTATGGCAGGAGGTGCAGGACTCCTTTGTGTTGGTATGAGTCGGGTGAGAGTGTGGTTTTGGGACCAGAGTTGGTGCAACAGACTACCGAGACAGTGCAGATGATCTGTGAGAAGATGAAAGCATCTCAGGATCGCCAGAAGAGTAATTATGATAACCGCAGGAAAGAGTTGGAGTTTAGTGAGGGTGACCATGTATTCTTGAGGGTTAACCCAGTAACGGGTGTTGGACGTGCTTTGAAGTCCAAGAAGTTGGATCTGAAGTTTATCAGACCGTATCAGATCTTGCAGAGGGTTGGTGCTATGGCCTATAGGGTGGCGTTGCCGCCGGAGCTTTCGAACTTGCACGACGTGTTTCACGTATCGCAACTTCGGAAGTATGTGCACGATCCGTCTCATGTGATTCAGAGGGATGAAGTCCAAGTTAGAGAGAATCTAACTGTGGAGACATTGTCGTTGAGGATCGAGGATTGTAAGATGAAGCAACTCAGAGGGAAAGAGATATCGTTGGTGAGAGTGGCTTGGGGAGGTGTTGCAGGTGGCAGTGTGACCTAGGAATTGGAGAGTAGGATGCGAGAAGCGTATCCGGAACTGTTTCCATCAGGTATTTTCGAGGACGAAAATAATTAAAGTGGGGGAGAGTTGTAACACCCATTTTAATTAATTTCATTTCCGGTATTAATTTATTCGCGGATGTGTCTTGAGGAAGTGTTAGAAGATTATGAACTCATAGTATCAATATGTGGTAAATAAAATGAGATAATTAATGGTAATGTGAAAATTATTATTAATTATTATCATTGTTATTTCCAATATTAATATATGAGAAAACATAATTAATTGGACTTTTTGGAATAAAAAGTATTATGAAGAATTAATATAATTTTGGAAAATATATTATTTGGATTAAAAATGAGTTATTTGGATTTAATAAAAAGAATATTGGGACAAAGGGTATTGTGGGTATTTTTTTTGGAGAATAGAAAGAGAAGTGGAAGAAGAACTCGTGAGAACACGAGAGAGGAAGGAGAACAAGCGATCAAGGGTGCAAGCTGAAGCATCAAGAACAGCGACAAGTTAGCTGATTTTCGTGAAGATTGAAGTGCAAATTCATCATCCAAGCTTCGTTTGAGGTAAGGGGGGGATTTTACGGTACTTTGGCTTTTGCATGAAATTCGATAGATTTTGGGGAAAATCCCTAACCCCATGGAATTGTTGTTGTTTGATGTTGTTTGTATGATATTATTGTTGTGAATGTTGAGTTATATGATGTTTGATTCGTGCATGTGCTGAGATGTTGATTTGTGAGAGTTTTGGAACATTTCGGTAAAACTTCGAAGTTGAACCCGGAAGCTGGTTCGGAGAGTAGAGTGGATGATATTCGGAAAAGAATCGGGAATAGACCCGTAGTGTAAGGGTAGTATGTTATAGGATATCGGGTGATGATTTAATCGGGCAGAATCGGAAGTGAGAGACGATTCTGATGTGCAGAATGTGCTGAATTCTGCAGGATTCGCCAACCTTCGCTGGGCGAATGGAGGCGAGACCTCGCTAGGCGAATGTTCGCTGTGGGCCTTCGCCAGGCGAGTGTGCCAGCGAGCCCGACAGCAGAGCTGAGTTTTGCTGTTGTTTTTGTGTGGTTCCTTCGCGGACTTCGACCCTTGTTGGCCGTATGCGATGGGAGGCTTGCTGGGAAGTTAATGCGAGCGTGTGTATGAGGTTGTGGGGCTATTTGACCGGCGTCTATCGCCCGTGGCATAATTGGGGGAATTCGCGTTATGTGTGAACCGGTGCGGATATGCATATACGTGTAGTGTGTGCACCGTGTGTGTGCCGAGTGTGAGAGGTGAAGATCAGTATGACCGTTGCGCCTTGGGTGCGTTGTGTCGGTGTGTTGTGGAAAATGGATCCGTGGGGATCGATACGCTTATCGTGCGTTGCGTTTTGCACGCTATTATGTGAAGTATTGGGGTCAGTAAGACCGACATGCCTTGTGTGCATTGTATATGGTGAATTGTATAGTGAGCGGATCCGTGGGATCGGTACGCCGTGGGCGTAGTGTATGTGTGTGGCGAGGAATGGATCAATATGATTCATGTGCACTTAGTGTGCTAGTTGTTTAATGTGCGTGGTTATGGTGGTGTGCTCCTGTAGAGGAAGGTGATGGCCCAGTGACCATCGACATCGTTGGTGTGCTCCTGTAGAGGAGGGTGATGGCCCAGTGACCATCGATATCGTTGTTGTGCTCCCAGTGGGGAGGGTGATGGCCATGTGTCCATCGATGTTGATGAGGTGCTCCCGGTGTGGAGGGTGATGGTCAGTTGTCCATCGGAGATATGCTCCCGTAGCGGAGGGTGATGGCCAAGTGTCCATCGGCATTATTATAGTGCTCCCATTATGGAGGGTTGATGGCCAGTTACCCATCGGTGTGGTGTGCTCCCTGTGTGGAGGGTTGATGGCCAGTTGCCCATCGTTATATTTTGTGCTCCCGCGTGGAGGGTTGATGGCCCGGTGCCCATCGTGGTAGTGAGTCGGTGTCGTATATTGTGAGTGGTGTGAGCGCGTTTGTTGCGCGATTGTGAATTGTGGATAAGGGTGGGACCGTGAGTCCGGATGATGTGTATATGAAATAATATTATTATTATTGATTTCTGCTTTTACTTCATGCACTTATATGTCATTATTATTTGATCGTAATTCTCACCCCTTTGTCGTTGTTGTTGTGGTATGTGCTTCTCCGGTAGTGCAGACAACTCAGGTGCTAGCTAGATGGATTTGTGGTGTCTCGTAGGACTGCTCTGATACGTAACACCGGGGCGTTTCGGGAGTTTTTCTGTTATTATTGATATGTGTGCCCCAGTGGCGTGTCTGACTTTTGTATATGCGTGATGATGTTTTGATGATGTCATGTATTTTGGGCAGATGGTTGTCGTATGTATGTACACATATGAGGATGATGGATATGGTTGATGTATATCTATGATGTTTTGAGATTTATGACAGACTATGTTTATTCTCTTCTCCGCTGAAATTTTATGAGAAGTTCAGTTAATTTAATTAAAAAATTTTATTTATGGAATTTGAAGTGAAATTGTGACATCCCGTTGGGAGAAAACTCTGATATGTGTTTTACTTGTTTGTTTTATTTTATTTTGGGAGCGGGGTGTTACATGAGACCCCCTTCAATTTAAGGTCATAGAGAAAATCTTCTGTAGATCTAAAATCCAAACTGAAGAGTCTCTTGCAATACTCAGAAAATCAAAGAGTGGCTAAGACTGAGTATCATTCACCCTCAATTGATAACGAAAGGAAAGTGAAGTTCAACAAGTTTGAGTTGAAGACAAATGAAGATTTAAAAGTTATAAAATTGGTTAATGAAGTTATAAAATTGGTTAATAAACATTCTGATATAAAAAATAATTTTTAACAACAAACAAAGTTGGTTAATAAAATATACAAAGTTAGTTAATAAAAATTATGAAATTGGTTAATCACACAATTTTATGTCCATATTATTTAATTTAAAAATTAAAAATATGAAGAAAAAAAATTAAAATAATAATTTTTAAAAAAAATATTATTATAATATTTCATTATTTATCATATAAATAAACAGTAGTAATATATAATTTTAATGTAAAAATAACATTTTTCTTAATCAATAGATGGTGTAATTGTAATACCGGCGGTGATTTATCTGGATACACTCCTTTTTATATATATTTACAGCCGTTGTTTAGTTTAGCGGTGAGCTATCATGACTAAAAACCAAGGCAACGTCTGTCGCCACCGGTATTGGACACGCTGTGTGCCTAACCTATATTATATACTCCTTTCACCTTCACAACCTTTTTCTGACCTTGGTTTCAACTTTCCACCTCTCACAAATAATTCAAATTTATTATTATTCAACTTTTTTTCCTTCAATATATTCAAACATAATTAACTTATTTTTAAATAACATTTATTTATTCAAAATTAAAAAATATACTTTACTTAGTGATAAATGTTGATAGTCAATAGTTTCAAATTAATTATAGTACTCTTGTTTTTTGTTTTTTTTTTGAATAAGTGTTCCCGACATGGTTGGTTATATATATTCATTAGTTTAGTACAGTTTAGTTTAAGTTTCCTTTTCTATCAGTATCACTGCTGGTTTAGTATTATTCACCTTTGAAAAATTATTGTACTATTCTTCTTCCCTTTCATCATCATCAACACTTTACTTATATCTACTCTCGTTTTCTTTCTCATTCAACATCACTGGTTTTGTGTAGGTTTGGTGCTGCTGCTGTTGACACTTTTCAACAACATAAAAAATGCAGTCAAGTCCTTTGCTTCTTCAGGAGCCTATTAGGATGGCTTCCATCCTAGAGCCATCCAAACCTGTCAGCATCTCTATCCCTCTCTTATTTCAAGTGTTTTTTGTTGGGATTATGACAACTTTTGGTGACCCATTTATAGTGTTGTTGTTGTCTAGTGTGACAGATCAAGTTTAGAATTTGACAGTGTACTTTTGTTGAGTTTTGTTTTCATTATGCTGATCTTATCTTATCTTCTTTTAAACATTCTGATTCTGATGTAAGAATGTTTGCTTTTGCTTTTGATTGCTATGAGTGTTGTTTTTTTGGTGTTTTATGTTGTTTCATTGTTTGTCAAAATATTGATCAAGGTTTAAAATCTGCTTTCTACAGACTTTCTTTCCGGCTATGACTAAAATTGTAGGCACACTTGGTCCGAATTCACGATCTGTTGATACTATTACCCGATGCCTCGATGCAGGAATGTCTGGTATAATTTCATTCAAACCTTACAGTGTTTGTTCAGAAATTAATTGCTAGTTTCCATTTGTCACATTGATCTCACATTTTCCCTTGTTTGTGTTAAAGATAGAATGCTAAAGGATTTTAGATTGTTTTGTTTTTCTTGTATGTCTATACAGTCTGCTTCTGAGTCATTTGTTTTTCTCATCTAATTCTTATTTTCCTGCCATATGCTAGTCGCGAGGTTTGACTTCTCATGGGGTGATTCGGAATACCACCAAGAGACATTGGAAAATTTAAGGGATGCTATCAAAACCTCACAAAAACTCTGCGCGGTAAACGCGCCTCATGTTTGCTGTTAATTTAGCCCCTATCAAATTTATTTTACATATGTGCAAATACCTTGTGAAGGGTAATTATTGTAACAATATTCATACATTTTGGTTCGATTTCAGGTTATGCTCGATATCGTGGGTCCAGAATTACAAGTTGTGAATAAAACTGATCACCCAATTACCCTTGAAGCAGGCACATTACTTGTTTTAACTCCGGATCAAAACAAAGAAGCTACTTCAAATCTACTACCAGTAAATTATAGCAGCCTATCAAAGGCTAGTATATACCTTTTTCCATGTTTTTTTTCGTTATTGGCCTTGGTTATGCGTGTTCTAACGTGATTTTCCCTTTAACTAACGTATCCATGATTATGCAGGCTGTGAAGAAGGGTGATACTATTTTTATCGGTAAATATTTGTTTACCGGAAGTGAAACAACATCTGTATGGCTGGAGGTAATGCAGTCATTGTTCAATCTTCAATGCATTTGCGACAAGTTAATATATATTTTTGAAACTGATTTTTTCTCCAAACTGTTCTTTAGATACTATAAATCTACCGAGTTAACATATATCTTAATAAATAGTATCTGTTTCACAATGCAGGTCAGCGAGGTGAATGGGGATGATGTAACTTGTCTCATAAAAAACGACGCTACACTTTCTGGCTCATTGTATACTCTACATGTCTCTCAGATTCGTATTGATCTTCCTACTCTTACAGATAAGGATAAAGAGGTAACAAAAAGAACTCTTACATGAATGGAGATGATTATCTCGTAGTTTTATGAATCTATTGCTTGACATTATATTCACCAACTCAGGTAATACGCACGTGGGGTGTTCAAAACAAAATAGACTTCCTTGCCTTGTACACCCGGCGCGCTGAAGATGTTCGCCATGTAAGGGATATACCTGATTGGTTTTAACTTCCAACTTATAACTTGCTTTGATTGTGTAACACTGTTAATGAAGTAAATCATTTTTCGTTTGTGTATTCCTCACAAACAACACCTCTAATTTTCATTTGCAGGCCCGTGAATTTATCTCGAAATTCGAAAACCTCAAGCAGACACATATTTTTGCAAAGATTGAAAATATAGAGGTAAGAAACTTTGGTCCAATTTTGAAGTTCAAAATCTTTTGATGATTGCTGAATTGTTATTGTAAAGATAATCTTTCTTCTGTAAAATCTGTGTAGGGATTGAAACATTTTAATGAAATATTGAGTGAAGCGGATGGCATCATTGTCTCTCGTGGAAATTTAGGGATAGATCTCCCGCCTGAGAAGGTCAGCATTTACTTCTGGTCAGAAAAATCCGATGTTATAGATGATTAATTTGTAGCGAGATAATACTTGTTATCCTATGTTTCCATTTTGTTTATTTGTATTTTTTAACAGAATAGAATGAATATGATGTATGTATTTGGCAGGTGTTTTTGTTCCAAAAAGCGGCTATTTTTAAGTGTAATATGGCGGGAAAGCCAGTTGTTGTCACGCGTGTGGTGGATTCTATGACTAATAACCTGAGACCTACTCGAGCTGAAGCAACTGATGTTGCCAATGCAGTGTTGGATGGCAGTGATGCAATTCTCCTTGGAGCCGAGACCCTTATTGGATTATACCCTGTGGAAACCATTTCTACAGTTGGAAAAATTTGCGCCGAAGCTGAGAAAGTTTACAATCAAGACTTGTATTTTAAGAAAGCTGTCAAATATGTCGGAGAGCCAATGAGCCACCTAGAATCAATAGCTTCCTCTGCGGTACGTACATATACTAATTTTTTCCCATCGACATTATTCTATTAACTTGCTGAAAGGACCATATACTAATTGAAGTATATTACAGGTTCGAGCAGCCGTCAAGGTTAAGGCATCTGTTATCATTTGTTTCACATCATCTGGAAGGGCTGCAAGGTTCTATTTCATTCCATCTTCGGTTGTGATTTTGATATCTTATTGTTATATCATTAGTTACTTGTTTTTTTGTGTATTTATGTAGGTTGCTTGCTAAGTACAGACCAACCATGCCTGTGATATCTGTTGTCATTCCTCAATTGAAGACAAATCAACTACGATGGACATTCACCGGCGCTGTTCAGGTAAATAATCAACAAGTTTGTCTTTGCTTGACTTGCATAACATTACTTGACATTGAAGTTAACAAGTTTTTTGGTGTTATTTGTTACAATTTATGACCTTGTCCCAGGCTAGGCAATCTCTTATTGTGAGAGGTCTTTTCCCTATGTTGGCAGATCCTCGACACCCCGTAAGAATTATTCAATGTTGATTGATACTGTGATGTTTGTCATCTTTCATTTTAGAATTGTTAAACTCGACTGATTTTGTTTTTCTGCATGCAGACCGAGTTTAATGCTGGAACAAACGAATCGATTTTGAAGATTGCTTTAGACCATGGGAAGGCTTTTGGCATCATAAAGCCACATGATCGAGTCGTTGTTTGCCAGAAAGTTGGTGATTCTTCAGTTGTGAAGATTATTGAGCTTGAAGATTAGAAATTGTTTCATTTCAAGAATGCATAATAAAACTCAGCTGACACTCTATAGAGTGGTTTCCCTTATTCTGCTAAGTTGAGTCATGTAACTGAGTTCTACTAGTTGTTTAGTGATCAAATGATTGTGCAACTTCTCCTTTGTTATTTGTTTGTTTCAAGAGGCAACTAAAGTTTTGAACAATAATGGTATTGTAATAATAATAAAAAAATCAGTTTTGATCCTAAGATTTTGTTTTAATAGACAATTATTTTGGTCAGTTGTTAGAATTGGTAATCATTGGGAGAGAAGTGAAAGAGAGAGAAATCAACTGGAATTTCGGGTAGAATTTGAGAAATGAATCTATCTATTAGAGTTAGGTGTTAGAGTTAGTTACAGCATTAGTATATATAATTAATTGGTTGGTATAACTTGTAACTGAAATTCTAATATATTATAGTGTTACTTTATCCGCTTCATTGAGTGAGGGTGAATATATTGAAAATTCGATTTTATATTTCTCATATTTTAGTGATGTATTTTTGGATGCACTTAATACACATAAAAAAGGTGTTGCAAGTGAGTCACACCTTTTTTATGTCAAAAATAACGGACTATTATAAAGATGCATTTTTGGTCGGGTTTATTTTAGTATGGATACGGAGATTCATCTCCAGACAAATTTTTAGACAAAATGGGGTGGTTCATTCACGAAAGTGTTGAGTGTGTGGAATATGGGTGCATTCAGAGATTCATCCTTAAAATTTAAGAATATTTGTGACTTTTTACCGTGGTGAACTAGCACTCTATGGAGTGGCTAAAATAACCTTGGGTCTATAAATAAGGGAAAGAAATAGAGAATTGATCCAAGAGTAAGGGAGATCCAATCCTTACCTTTTTATTTAGGGAGGTGCTCACTACACCCTATGTAATTATTACAGATTCTATGAAAACACTAAAATATCATTCGCGTTGTCCGAATTTTAAAATTTGTACGAGTCTATTATACACCAAATCACTAAATTAGGGAGGCACCTTTGTTTTTGTCAAAAATTTCCAAAAATTAATCCTCGTGATGTCATTTGAATTGCAATTTTCAGAAACTCCAAGCGAAAAAAACGAATTTGGCTATCACCTTGCATGCATAGCACTCTTCATGATCATAACACCATTTTTGAAAATTCTTACAAAAATCTTCTTCCATTCTCATTCAAATATTTTGCTTCAAAACAACCATTCTACTGTATTTTGACATCAAAAGGAGTAAAAGAAGCTAGAATTTCAGATAATGTACATGTATTTCATTAACCATTGCTTGAGAAAACCATGTTTATTTTGCTGAAATATGTACGCTGCGTCTGAATTTTGAAATCCAAATTCTGTCACATTGTGTCCCGAAAGTGAATCCGTGATGTTGAATTTAAATTATCTTCTATTATTATTGGTTGTATGGTGCACCCTGATAATGTCCTTAAGGCTACAAATAAACATGAGTTTTCTATATGTGAACATATGTTTCAGTGGGTCTGTACATAGGCTACCAAATTAGGGTTCAACAATATATCACGTTTCAGCTTGCTTGGTAACATAGAGGAGAATCATACACTTATACGTCAACATCTTTTCAAAGAGTTGAAGGCACATAAGGAATCATACACAATGTTATACGGGTAAAAGAACAATTCAATGAAATTTATGCATCACTTATTCCTTGAGTTAGCGGTCTAATACTATAGGCAAAATGTACATGTTTTATTGAAACGGGTCATCTTATAGCAATTACATATAATGTGGTGTGTATCAATCTGACAAGATATGGTTTATCAAAAATATTTTTCCCACTTTAAAGTGGCACACCTCAAAATCCATTCGAATGCATTATGTGTACCAGATGTCTTTCCAAATCACAACATTTTGTTTAAATTTATTCGAAACTGTGATGTTTTATACCATGAGCATCTCATGAGTGGACATGTCATTCCACAAAAGAAGCTGAAACTTGGTCGGATAATTTTTTGGATAGAATGAGAGAATTTACCAAGTTGAGCAAAATTGAAAGAGAATAAAATAGTAAAAGTTAAAAGTGAAACCACCCATAGATATAGACTTAGATTGTGACACATTTTTTGATGCATTTTAGTTTTATCTTACAATGCATTTAGGTGGTGACACATTTTTCATATGTAATGTTTAATTATTATTTTTAATGATGTAATCCAGATACATTTTGATGTGTTTTAATGTATATCTAACATTACTTTCATAAAAATAGGACTTAAAGTTTTCTATGTTAAAAACAAATTTTGTATGTGTGTAAAATTATCTGTTTGCAAAAATAGCTTCTGTAAGGGGTGAGTCCAAATTTAAATACCCAGACAAACCCTATTTTTCGTATTGTTTCATACATAAAAAGGTTAATTCGGATTTCAATATTTGGACGAACCCTTATTTGTGTTTGATTGATTTGAGATTTTTGGATTGTCCCCTGAGACATGATTGTTTTTGAAACGAACCATATTAATCTAAATTCTTGTATAAATATGCCTCATAAAATGGAGAAAAAAATATTGTTTATTGCATTTGTTTATTTCAACGGTGGGAGACCCCTTTTCAATTTAGGTTCATGGAGAAGATCTTTCTTGTAGATCTGAAATTCAAACTGGAGAGTCTCTTGCAATACTCAGAAAATTAAAGAGTGACTAAGATCGAGTATAATTCACCTCGAATTGATAACGAAAGAAAGGGAAGTTCAACAAGTTTGAATTGAAGACAAATGAAGATTTAAGAGTTATCTAGAGTATATTTCACTGTTACACAACAAAGGTTCCAATCGAGATAGATGTGACACTTGCAAGATCAATCAATGATATTCTAAATATGTTAAAACATCCTCAACCATCTCTTGATGATAAAATGTCATGTTAGATTTAGGTTAACAATTATCTATGTAATGTTACATATTTTGTGTAGGTGAAAACAAATATTTATGTTAAGTTATATTTTTCTTCATCCTTTGTTGTAAAATTGTTTATGATTTTGAAATAACATGTGTAATATCCTAATTTTTAACCATAAGATCCCACATGTCATTTTTCATTCTGCATCACAAACAAGAACACAAGCTTTGGCTTCCTTATCCTCCTCTGTAGGTTTGCTTCTGAAGGAGATCACCAAACACCTGTGTGTTTTTTTTTATTTGCTTTTATTTGATTGTTTATGTTTACTAACCCTAATCAAAATTTAAAAAAAAATGTTTGTCTTTTCTCTTATTAACCTTTTCAAGAGGAGGCTTGGATCAAGAAAATCAAATACATGTTTCTCAGCTCGAATGGAATTCATTTGAGCAAAGTCAAAGTTGATCTGCAAACAATTCAAAATCATTTGATCAAGAGTTTCCTCAAGATTTGATCACTTATTACTTAAGAGACTCTAAGGTTCATGTGTTTATTCCCACGCCTTATTTGACAAGTCAAAAGAATCGAGTAAGAGCCAAGACCAAAGGATGTAGCAAAAAAGCAGTTTTTCCACTTTTCACTAATGTAAATCGATTTGCATTATAATGCAATCGATTGCACACCTTCAAAATGGCGCAGGATTGTAATTTTTTTCAACATTGCAAATCAATTTGCACATTAGTGCAATTGATTGCACTACTGCAGTTTGGGCATATTTTCAAGTTCTGCAGCATTTTGGCATCAATTTTCAAATGTGACCTCATGTGGAATATTCTAGATCATGAAAAATCATCACAAAAATAATTTCTCTACATAATCACAATTATTTCCATCATACACCCTCATCTAATCATACTTTTTAACCACTTGATCTTTGATTTTGCTTTTAATCCCATTTTCAAACCTAGATTAAATTCGAATCCAAATTGCAAACCGCCAAAATTTCCAACCCTAAACTCTATAAATAGAGCTCTCATTTCATTCATTCTTCAAACTTTTGATATCCAAATTCACCTTGTCAAAATTCCTTTTCACTCTCTCAATTTCTTCACTAACCCAATTTCACTCAAAGCTCTTTCTTCCATTAAAAGTTTGTAAGCTTTTCATTGAAGCTTACTAATCTTTGAGCTAAACCTCCATCAAAACACTTAATCCACATCAATTTCTATAGATCAAAGTTTTGGAGTGTGATTTTTGAAGTTGATTTGAAGCATTTTCAGATTTGAAGTGGTAATTCTCTAGTTCCACCATTGTTGTGCTTGTTCTTCCATCTTCCACAATGTGATCTCTTGTTGATTTTTGTTGATTGATTCTTTGAGCAAAATTTTGTGATTCCATTGATGTTATTTGCTCTTCATTTGATGAAATTTTTGTGCTCAATTGCATCCTTGATCATGAGGTGTTTGGAGAAATCATTGACCAAGGATTGTGCATTTTTCAAACTGCTTTTTACTGTCATAGCAGGTGAAAATCGATTTGCACCCCTGTGCAATCGATTTGCATTGTGTTTTTTTAGCCTGGATGTGATGTCTAGCGTTGTGTAATTGATTTTCACACTGGTGCGATCGATTAGCACAGTGCATGATGTGTTTTTTGGCTCTATTTCGTAACTGTTTTAGTTCATTTTCTTCCTTCTTCCATTTCCTTTTATTTAATTTGATTATTTCTATAATCAACTAGTACTAGCATAAGCACAAAAGAAGATCATGGTTATGGTTTAATATCATCAAAAGATATTAGAGAAGACGCAGACAAAAGAAGATTATGTCGTTGATGTGTTACATGTATGTCAATGTATTATGGCTATTAGGCGAGCAAGTATAAAGAGAGGAGAGTTTCTAGAAGACACTTTTAGGCAGATGACTATAAAGACCATGATAATCGAGACACAAAATATCTTGCAGTACAAGAGGCAGAAAAGAAACTGGTGGTCCGGTATTCTTAATGGTTGATTATGAATTTTAATTGACTGGTCTGGTATTCCTAATGGTTGATTATGAATTTCAATTGAATTAATAGTCTGGTATTTCTAATGGTTGATTATGAATTTTAATTGAATTAATATATGATATTTTGATTGAATTGCATTAGTGTATGATTTAATCAGTGTATAGTTTAATTGAAAAACAATTATGTATATTTAGTATAAAAGCATAAATAATATAAAATAAGATTTCTTTAAAAAATGTCAATTTAATAACAAACTTACTGCCTAGGATAAAAACTAACTATCTTGAGAGTTAGTCCGAGAGTAAACTTCCGAATTATTCCCTTGAGTTATGAAATAAACACACTAGTATAAATTTAAAATGTGTCTAAAGGTTATTAGAGAAGTGCACATCCAGACTCACCCTTTCATCAATGCAAAGATACACTTCCTAAACAATTTTTGACAAAATGGGATGAACAACTCAAATGTTGTATTTTAGATGCATATGGAAGTATACTGTATGGAAGTACACTACCTGATTTAAGGACAATTTTGGATTTTCCAAGGGTGACTTTTCACCACGGTGTGAGGGAAAGAGGTAGAGAATGGCCAAATCTGTATTTCAAATAGTAGTCCGGGTAAAGAAAACCAAGATGAACATTAAAAACACCCAGAACGAGCAAATAGTACCCTAGGTAGGGCATGCAGCACATGAATGTAACTTTTATTCATCAAAATAATGTTGATATTTATTCAGTCTATACAAAGCTGTTCATACAAAATTATTAAATATCAAAAGGCAAAAAATTGCCTAATTAACAAAATTACCAACATCCTGGAATCTCATGTATGTTGGAAGCCTAATGTTATATGGTCATGGTGGTGGGTATTTCCTCAAGATATGATGGGTAATGACACCCAATATATTATTTTACAAAAACCATTAAAGATACAACAAATGAAAACTGTTTCCCATGTATAAATAAAATGCACAAAAATGATTATGTTATGCAACTCCAAGCCAGGTTGTGGTTAATCAACATGATTTGTCATGAGAAGCACAATAATCAAACACCATGAAAGTTGGGTGTCTGTCATTATAAAAGAAGTCGTTTTATATCACTGAAGTTTGACTTCAGAGCAGAGAGAAATGCACCTGCGAAATTGAGTTAAACCACATAATCAAACACCATACTTATACTTTTCATTAGCTAATTAAAGTATTTTAATTACACATACCTCCAACTTTGCCATCAAAGACGCGATGATCGGCAGATAATGTTAAGTTCAACTTAGTGGCAACTGATGGCTTCTCAATTCCTAGTAGCAAATAAAAACCAACGTCAAAACAAACTTCAAGTTTAAGCATTAAGTGGCATTAAGAACACCCATAAATTTATACCATCAGCATCAATTACTGGTTCCACAACTTTGTTGCCTCTCCCTACAGCAAGAATGCAAGCCTGCATAACATTATATCCAAATTAATAAAGAACTGTATTAATCCAAAGCAACAGAACACTTTGATCATTTTAACATAAAGGCCCCAAAGGGGATTGCAATTTGGGTAACTGTTTCTCAGATTTAATAAAACAGGCATTCTGAAATGGAACAACTTTCGAGATAGGATTACAAAATAAGGAAATAAGTCAAAGAACATGAATAATTTCACGAAAGGTTTGCGACTAAGTGTTTTTAAGATATAAAAAAACCAAAATCATCAGTTATTATTTCCTTTCTTCTTTATATTGAATAAAATCAAATTAGGTGAAAATCATCCTTGGTTCACCATGATAGTTAGCTCCTTTGTTGAAATAGCAAATAGCCTGAGTGAAAAAACCTTGGAACTAAAAGAATAGTTGAATTGAAATTAACTGAGATCATAAGCAAAAATGTAACATAATGTCGTAGAAATTTATCGATTAAGGCTTTGTTTGGCTTTGTGTAGAAGTTTGGAAGGGAAAGGAGGGGAAAGCTTTAAAAAAAGAAAGGATGAAGTGGAAATAATTGAGAGATTTAGGAGAGGGCTTATTTTTGTTCATAACTCAATTCCCACTAATTTGGAGGAACTAAAATTATTTCGGGGGAGGGATTCAGAGGGGTTAGATAAACTCTCTAAATTCAATCTATGTTATTAAAATAGTCTAAATTTTAGTAAGATATTATATCGTATTCAATTATCATTTAAACAAAAGTGCTCTTTTAAAAATAGTTTAAGATTTATCTATTTTTCTCCATAATCATCTCCTCCCAAAATCCCTCCCTCCCTCCCCTCCAAACTCCCAAACAACGCATAAGCAAAAAAGTCTTACTTTTACTAAACATCGTATATATTCATTAATTTACTTACGTGGGCAATCCCGGTTATATTTTCAATAATGGGAGCTACCCAACATTCTCTTGAACGATTGTATATGTAACAAAGTCTTGTTTGGTGTAACTATGAAGCACAGACTCTGACACGGACATTCCAACACCGATATGTCAGAAACCTAGGACACAGACACTGCTATTTATGTCATAGTATTTGAGTTTCATTTATTCATCTAATTTCAAAAAAGTTAAAAATATTCTAATCAAAATTAATGTTTTTAATTCTTCATTGATAACATTGCTTCAATATATGTTTAATCCTTTTAATCGAGTGTGAGATTTGTCTAGAAAATGTATACAGTGTGTTGAGGAAAAGAGAAACACAATTTTAAAAAAAAAACTTTTATGAATTATCGGACACGTGTTGTATGAGTGTCATATGGGTATCGGACACCGATTCAAAATGTGTCGAAGCAAAGATAAAAGACCAATTTTTTAGAGACATCTGTCTGACTTTTCTGTTTGACTTTTCCGACACGTGTCGTACGGGTTCATACAAGTGTCAGACACTGCGACACGCCTACTTTTAGAGATGTCTATGTTTCATAGCTTTCATTGTAACATTCTCTTCTCTGTGACAATAAACTTGTTTATTGGCTCTTAACTGCCAACATTTCTAATACAAAGTTAATCAATTTAACATCTAGATAGTCCAGCAAATTAGATGTTGTAAATGCCGGGCTGTGTGTGAGAATATATATATATATATATATATATATATATATATATATATATATATATATATATATATATATATAGAGAGAGAGAGAGAGAGAGAGAGAGAGAGAGAGAGAGAGAGAGAGAGAGAGAGAGAGAGAGAGAGAGAGAGAGAGAGAACCTGTGGGGGGTTTATAATTGCACAGAATTTATCCACGGGATACATTCCTAAATTTGAAATGCTGCAAGGTGTTGTACAAAACTCAATTATTAGTTTTGGCAACAAAAAAAAATGATAATAGGGAATTTTCTAGCTTGCATGACAATCTATGTATATTGTAAAAAACTCACCTAAAAGTCCCCCCTTGGAACTCTTGAGGCTTCAACTTGCCTGCACGTGCTTTTGCAGCCAGTTCCTTCACCTAAAAGTACCAATAATGAATTAAAGTTGATTAAGAGCAAAGAAAAACCCTACTTTCCAATATTTTAATTTATTTCAAATAAAATTCGCTAGACACAAACAGCAAAGTCCTAAAAAATTACCTCTGAAGAGATGGCAGATATTGTCTTGTGATCGGCATTTTTTAATATTGGAGTCATCAAGCCCTATAGCCACATAAAAAGTTTGAGCGCTTTGTAAAATGGTAATGACTGTTAAACAACATCTATTACCTTTTCTGTGGCAACTGCTATTGATATGTCAACAGAATCGCATAAGATGATTTCACCCTTCTCATCACTCCAGTATGCTGCCATAATATAAGTTAGATTTAAGCATTAGCGACTTCAATAGGGAAGAATTCAGTTCTAAGAATAGGCAAGCAAATTGTAGCAATAACAGACAAAGACCCATAAAAAATGAACCAAGACATAAAACACAATCAAGTATTGAGCACTTGATTTCGGTTATATATATATATCTAATTTAAAATATTTTGAAACCTGTATTTAGCCCAGTGTTTCAGTGTTGTCCATGGCGGAGAGTCAAAATCCCGCCATACATTTTGCGGCGCCGTTATAGCGGATTATTGCGGAAAAACCTGCAATATCAGCCGATATTTACCATTGCGGAAAGCCCAAAAACCGCCATGCATATCCGCCATAGCGCCGCAATTGCTGATATTTGATAACACTGATATAGCCTGTGGTAAAACAAACAATGGATGTCTGAATTTAGCTTGTTAGAGTACTAGGTAATTCATGTTTGGTTGGCACTTGTTTTATTAAGCTTATTGGGTTAGGTTACTCGAGTTAGTTATGTCTGGCCTATTTTACTGAGAATTTAGGCTTAAGACCTAACTAACCCTCACAAAACCGGCTTGTAAGATGAGGAACTCTCAAGCCTTAAGCACTACTTAGACCATATCTAGCACAAAGAAAGTGCTGGAGGATGCAATAAAGGCGGTTTAAAGCTGCTGCAATTAAGGCAACTGGAAGTGGCATGCAATTAAGGCAACTTCCAACAACTATAAATGTAAATGCTATGTATTTGATACTTATTATATCTTAAGAACCTTTTATCAATAAAATATAATGTTTCTTTCATCCCTTCCTGTTCCAGCAAGTCCTTTAAGTTAACTTTTTGCTGTTTCGGGGATTCAAAAAAATCTGATTTCATCATGGCACTCGCCAGTACAACTCCCCATGACCTAATTCATTCTTATTCTTCAATTAAGTTTAAAAAATAAGAAGTTTTGTTGTTTGGTGTCATCTGTGTTCGTCCTACTTTCTTCTTTGGCAACCGTCATTTTCTGCCACAGTATCTGTCTCCACTTCTTGCTATACTCAAGTTTGATTGCCGATATGATCCTACAATTGTACTCTTAATGTACCAAACTATAGGGGCTTAAAGTATCAGGCCAGTAAGCCTTTCTATATTATACTTCTACCCCAAGAGACTTATCTCCAACAGCCTTCTGGCCACATGGTTATCGTTAAGAGTCACACATCGGATAATATATGGCCTAAACATGTGCTTAAAAGTGGGGGCAATCTTTACCCTACCAACCGGTTTTGTAGGGTAAGTTAGGCTCAACCACATTTCTTAACATGGTATCAAGAGCCTTGTTTAAGATCCGGTGGGCCACCTACTATGGTTTCCGCTATTGAGTCACCCACCATTTATTTCCATGCTCCAGATGTCCAGTCTTGGACATGAGGAGGTGGGTGTGTTAAGAATCTCACATCGGATAATATATGGCATGAACATGTGTTTATAAGTGAGGGCAATCCTTACCCTACCAACCGGTTTTGTAGGGTAAGTTAGGCTCAACCACATTTCTTAACATGGTATCAAGAGCCTTGTTTAAGATCTGGTGGGCCACCTACTATGGTTTCCGCTATTGAGCCACCCACCATTTATTTCCATGCTCCAGATGTCCAGTCCTGGGCATGAGGAGGTGGGTGTGTTAAAAATCCCACATCGAATAATATATGGCCTGAACATGTGTTTATAAGTGGGGGCAATCCTTACCCTACCAACCGGCTTGTAGGGTAAGTTAGGCTAACCACATTTCTTAACAGTTATTAAGCTCAGGGAGTCCAGGTTAGTTTAAACTACTCGAGTCTGCTTGAAACAGACTTTGCAGGTGAGGTTTTGTAGGCTAAACACCCAAGTCAACAACCTAGAAACATTCACAGTATTGTATATAATACTTTAGTAGTATTTTTGTTACAAAAATTGTTATATGTATTTTTAATAGCTATAATTTATGAGTTTCCCTGCACCTTCTGGGTCCCTCACTGCTTCTACCACCTAAGATAGTTAAAGTAAATATAACACAAATGGATAGAACAATAAGAGGAAATTGCTTACCGTTTGCTTCTGGTACATTTTTTAGAGCAGCCGCTACAACTTTGATAATAATGTCATTCACTGAAACTTTTATGTCATACTGCTCTGTAATCAAAGGAGCAAATAAAGATTATATTGGATTGCCGGTGTACCAGGACCAAGAGCATATCATCTAACATGTTTCTATAAAAAAATAATATCAGTAATACCTATAAGATCCTTTCTAAGGGAAAGAAGAGGATCCAGTGTAACATCTGTCACATTCCAATAAAATATTATGAGTTAGTTAGTACAAAATAGAGTAGTTTTCAGTAATACGTAGGGCATTAGAGGATTAAAACCTGATGATAAATACAAGTGTGGTGTATTTATTTTAGATTCCAATAATCTCTTGGCAATCACCTACAAAACAGTCAAAAACATATACAGGCAAATCATAATACATTGATGTGATTAGTGGAAGGAAGCAGAATTTGAAATTTAGTCCATTAATTGTCAATTTTTCAAAGTATTCAGGTAGTAGAGATGTAATTAGAAAGGCTCAAACAAAAACATCACTATACTGAGCTGTACATCTACAACAATGGCCAAGTATTATCAAAACAATGTGTGAATGCACTCTATAGGGGCGACAAAAACAATTCTGAGTTTTGACCCATATTAGGTCTAATAACAAAGATTTTCCATAAGAATTGAGCACTCAACTCCCAACCGTAGACACCAAACAATGTCTTCCCTGGACGGCTAAATCCCTTTTGAATAACTTGCATATATTCTTATTTGACAAAAATAACTCGCATTACCATGCAATATATTCTGTGAAAGAATTGAAGAACCTTATATTCATATTTAACAGAATATTTGATGGTCCTACCTTGCGAATTTGACTATTAGGAAAATCTTCATAAGCATCTGACTGCTTTAAGTCAGACTTTGACTTTTGTGAAGCCGCTGCTTGATGACTTTGAGATGATGGAGCCTTTGCTTTAGATGAAGCAGGTTTTGGAGACAATTTTCCTGATTTAATTGCAGAAAGAACATCGCTTTTCAGTAGGGTGCTATGAGGACCAGTTGCATTCAATGTTGATGCATCCAATCCATATTCCGTGATTAACAACTTTGCAGCTGGACTGATTCGTGCGGTATTGCTTTTGTGAGTTTTGACCTCACTTTTAGTGCTGGGTTGGGGGGCCTTCTCCTTTTGGTTTACTGAGCTGCTGCTAAAAGAATTCTTTACAGCTTCAATATCACCCGCATCTTCAACCTAGCGGAATGGCAGGCAGCGTAAGTATTTCATACACACGGTGCTTTTCAAGACAAAAGAAAACGGTAACAATTTGGTAAACCAGCCAATAAATTTACCGAACATAATTGGACATTTGCTTAGTTTGTATTTCAAACCTCACAATGTGTTGGACGAAGAAGTTACAAAGCACTATCATACTTACTGTTATTGCAATAGGCTGTCCGACTGCCACTTCTTTTGTACCTTCTGGTGCAACTATCTTAGCTAGGTACCTAGTCTCCGCCAATGTCAGACATAAATTGGTCAGCTAGATGGTGAAACTTTATTGGGAAGAAGAAAGAAAACGGACATATAGTGATTGTCTGCAAAATAGACCAAATAGAATGCCAGCTTTGTGCTAATAAAGTAGTTAGTAATTTGACATTGTAATTAGCCAGATTAGAAAGAAATAGATTAACATCTACCAAAATTGCAACAATGAAAGAATACCGTTCCTAGATTTCTTTCAAACTTTCTTGAGGAAACTGATCAGTACTAGGCATGTCTATAAACACTTGGGTAAGATATCATGCATGCAACAAATATGTTTAAAATCCATATTATATCCGCAAGTCTTCTTTACGTGCGAAAACATTATTTAAGATGTAACAGTGGCATAAAAAACGTTTAATAACACAACATGTTGTAATGCGAGGCAACTATAGCAAACATAATGAATGCCTTTTAGTATAAAGAAAGATATTCACCCTTCTTCAAGACTTTCAAATTCAAGAGTAGCTTTGTCTGTCTCTATCTCGCATAATATGTCACCCACTTCAATCTGTTAGATAATTAGGGTTAATTCATGGCAGACAATAAATAAAATGAATGCTAATGACTTACTCACATGCTTCTCATTTTAAGATATTCAAAAATACATTAAAAAGGAAATCTCAATTGAGACCTTGTGTTAAAAACATAACTAACCTTGTCTCCTTCTTTTTTATTCCATTTAGCAATGTTTCCTTGGTTCTGTGCAGAAAAAAATTGAAAATCATTTCATGGATGGAAAGAAATTTATGGTGGAAATGGTTACGATTACAAGTAGCATCAAAATAATCTTACCATTGTTGGGGACAAAGCGGGCATTCCGAGAATTTCGTGGGGTGGAAGATCTGACGTATCAATTGTAGAAGTTGATTCAGGTTTACTTTCCTCATCCGCAACATCCTGATTTGTTGGTTTCTTCTCTTCAACCTTGCTCTCATCCCCCACAGAAGCAGAGACATTTTGAATGTCGCTTTCCTCCTCAACCTTGTCAAGGCCCATCGTTAGAGCTTACATATCAAATATTTAGGATACAAATATCACTTGAACTCTAAAAATTGTAGGTTAGAATCATCATGAAGTTAACAATTAAATAGGGGGCAAAAGTTGTAAGATTTAATATTTACCAAAACCACAATATTCAAAGTTTACATTATTTCATTAAACAAAGAGAAACTGGCATGAACCTCCTATTGCAAGTATAATATAAAAAAGGGCTTGTTATTTAAGGCAGGAATAGAGAGTGCTGTGACACAATTTTATTAAATTTGAGAAGACAGATAAGTAAAAGCAAATCATGTTTCAGATGAAATGGGCAACTGATAAATTGTGAAGTTTTCATTAGTAGCTTAAGATGCATAAAGGTGCATATTGGAACACACAGTGAAAACAATTATTGAGCCAATTTTGTTAAAAGGGAATAAATAAACTCAGTGAGAGAAAGAAATGTTGAATGGACAAATTATGGTATTAATTTTGTCTATAAAAGCAACTTTCATCTACAGAATCAAATAATGTTGGAAGTAAACATTACTATGGCGTCCATATAACAGTAACAAATAACAATACAAGAGTTGGAACTTAATGGTGGTTTGGCTTACTGTTATTGCAATCGGTTGTCCAACTGGCACGTCCTTTGAACCATCAGGTACCAATATCTTAGCCAGAAATCTGCATGAACCATCCAATCAATATAACACATTTTAATTGTGCACTAAAGCTTGCACGTTTTATATGATAAACACTCTAGGGTCAAAATTAGTTCAATTATAATGAACCAGATACAATAGAAGACCCACATAGGCATAATGAAATAACAACGAGAAGTAAAAAAGTGAAAGAAATCAGATACACTATTTTGTCTTTAACAGACACATGCATGTCTAGCGCATATGAAGTACCAAAGACAGCCGCGTGGAAAAACAATGAATGGCTGCAATTCATGGATGGTTTTCTCCATGAAGTTCATGGTCATTCTAATCTGTTAGATGAGTATAATGAAGGTCATATAGCATCATGTAATCTTAAAGTTTGATCTTTGCCACCGACTAAATGTTTTAGTTAATTAAATGCTACCAACTAGGCGTTTAGTATTAGTATGATTAAGTGTTAGTGTTTATGAGTTCCAGCCCTATTGTCAAAAAAATAAAAAATAAACAAACAGATTAAGCAGAAAAAAAGGGGGAAAAAGACTATATTATGAGTTCCAGCCCTATTGTCAAAATAATAAAAAAGAGTTCCAGCCTGGCACAAGTATTATAAACTTTTTTGCATTCTAGCTTTTTCAATTTTTACTTTTTGGACTTCAAAACAACTTCAGAGAAACCCTAATCCCCTAGATATAATCTATGAGAAGGATTAATCATGTCATCATCATCAATTGTATTACCAAGAAGACCTGAGATGCGCATATTATGAGCAACCTTCAAGTTGCTAAAATGCCCAGCTGAGATGTTGAACTGTTTCTTTTATTGATGGATGTGTTGAACTGTTTCTTTTATTGATGGATGTGTTGAACTGTTTCTTTTATTGATGGATGTGTTGAACTGTTTTTTTGTTGGCGGATATGTTGAACTTTAACAGAACTAACATTCAAGTTGCATTACCATTTAAACAGTAAGAATTGAATTTTATAAATTTTAAATTCAAGGTCATCCATAACTTTGGAAGAAAAAAAATACCCTTCTTCAAGACTTTCAAATTCAAGTGTAGCTTTATCAGTTTCAATTTCACATAGTATATCACCCACTGCTATCTGTAAATTAAACAGTAGCAATGAGAAAATGATTAGTTCATCCAAAGAAGTCACTTTCCGAAATAAAAGTATCAAAGCAAACAGAAGTATGATCGGCAACAATCAAAACTCAAGAATTTCAAACTGACCTACCTTATCCCCTTCTTTTTTTCTCCATTTTGCAATATTACCTTGGGTCTGAAACCAAGAGAAGAAGTCAAAATTCCAGGAAAGCCATAAAAGAAAAGAGATCAGAAAAGGGAGAAAAAACTGTTTCCCCAAGCTCACCATTGTAGGAGATAAAGCTGGCATGCCAAGGACTTCATGCGGAAAGTCTATCAAATGAGAAGAAAATGATCAGAATACGACTAGATGCATATGACTTATTTGCAGTTAACCTCTTTTAATCATAACATTAAGTTAAGATGGTAAAATTAATAGGCCGTTTTTAATGCAAAAGATGACTTAATATTGATATGACGAGTGTGGATTACAAAGATAAAGGAGGACAAGAAATCCTCCAAAACAAGAGAATGAAACAAAAAAATAACCTAGAAAATGAGCAAAAATAGTGTATAAAAGCTTCCCAAACCTCACATATCAGTAAGTGAAATTTCATCAAAAAAGTCATACTCATGAGGTTGGAACAGAGATGCCAAATGACTAATCTTTCCCAAGTTAAGCAATGTACCAAATAATTCTCCTTAAAATAAGAAAGTTGCACTGCTACCAAATGTTCCTTACTAAAGCATAGGTTGATTATTGCCACAAAAAATGGTGTCTTTACTTATGCAAATGCATTAATGAAATGAAACTAACCATCAATAAGTGATCTGCATACGAGGCACACCAAACCAAACATTCACCAAAAATGATGAACTGAACAAGAAGGAATGCCATAAAAAGATCACGACAACAACAATCAAACCTTATCCCACTAAGCAGAGTCAGCCACATAGACCCATAATATTCTACCATAAATCATATCTATAGAAAAACAATTGACCTCTAAGTTTCTCTAAATAGTTTCACCTCCTATAGTTTTTTGTGCCCTTCCTCTGCCTCTAATGATTGGGCTACCATGCACCTGATCTGCCTTCTTTACTGTGGAATCTACTCGCCTACTCTACAAAGGCCAAAATCATTTAAGTTAAGATCCAACCATATTTCTAGAATAGGTGCTACCTCAGCTCTCACCAATGCTACCATCCTTATTTATATCTAAACTAATATTTCCAATCATCTGGTGAAGTATTCTAAATTTGGGTATCTTCAATGTACTCTAGGGACCTAAATATGAATTTTTAATCTAAGGATGCCATTACAAGCATTCAAAATAACGGGTTTAATTTCCCCAAATAGTATAGGCACCTAAAGAATAATTTTAACCTTTATTGGTAAATCAGATAAGCAGGGCATTATGGTTTCCGTAACAACCTTAATGAAGCCCTAAGAAAAATATAAGATAGTTATAGAAAAGAGCTGTTGGTATTTCACAGGCAGCAGCATCTAAGTTGTTCACCATAAAAAAGAGATTATCAATGTTCCTTGTCCTTCTATATCAACATCAGATTATAGTATAAAACCAAGGACAGTTGTCATTAAATATTGACAATGTTAATTTCAATCATTCATCTTTTTGAAAATATTATATCAGAGGTAATGAAAGAGAATCACTTATGTACCCTTTACATTTTCAATGGAGTACACCTTGGACTAAGGCATATTTTCACATATAGGTATTTAGGAGGAAACATTCCTAGCAAAAGAAAGCATGCACTTTCTTGGGTTGGATTGCATCCAAAGCTGCAATTCATATGACCAAATGGAAAAACAGAAAAGTATATAGGTTTCCTAAGACAACCCAATAAGACCTTTTAATTTTTCCAGTCCTTTACTCAAGATAAAAAGATATTAAACAACCTCATCAAAACCTTGTCAGCAGAGGAAAAAAATTAGAGAGGGAGGTATAATATACCGAGACTGCCCAATCTCTTTGCAAATCATAGATCATAATTCTCTTGAAGCAGCAATGACTAACACCCATGGAATCAACTTCCAGTCCCACCCCAACTAAACATCCAATATCCATCTATTCTGTATGAACAAATTACCTAGTCTCTTTACTTTTCTAAAAATAAGGCTATCTAATATTAAGTTTTGTGAAGATGATAAAGTATAAATGAGAAGGCTGGAAGTTGCTAAACATGATGCTACCTCTTGGATATATGATGGATGGTAATTATATATTCAATATGTCACAGAAAAGAATGAGACATTCAACATAAATATATATCATAATCTCTCGACCAAAAGTAGGAGCTTCCATTAACCATCTACTAAATTTAAAAAAGAAACCATAAAACAAACAGCCTAAAAAGTAGAAGCTTCTAAAATTAGGTAACAGAAGCATTAAGTACCTGAAGACGAGAAGAATTTGACACCAATCCACTGCCAAAAATGTTGACAGCTGTTGTCAGAGAATATCATAGTCATGATTAGAATTTTTTTTATATATTTAAATACTAACTAACCTTTGACTTCAAGGGTCTATCACAAACTCCAGTAAGCCCAGACCAAGATGTATGCCTGATAAACATCACCATTAGTAATCTTCCAATTAGATCATACAAGAACAAGAAAGGAGGATGTACTAGAGAGAATGATGTCATTTTTTATTTCAGATGTTCAATCCAGGAAATTGGCTTTAAAGATACAGAACTTTTATGCAGAATAGTGATTGGTGGTTGAAAAAGGGGAGAAACTTTTATACTAATAGACATAGTAAGATATTTTCCTATTTTTCTGTTCGGCCCCATCTTCAAAGTATAAACAAATCACATAAATAAAAATGACACAACAACAACAAAAAACTGAGTTTGCAGCTTATGAGAAAAAAAAAATACAGGTTAATAGATGCAAACCTTAGATTCCCATTACCACCAACAGAATAAATCCTTGAATTCGGAGTTCTGTACCAAGATTATAACCAAAAGCAGTGTATTAGAAACTTGAAAGCAGCATTCTAAGAAGAAGAAAAAGAGACCAAAGCAGAATTAGAATAATTAAGATTCTATGAACATTAAAAAAAAGTCTACCATTCTTTCTAAAGTATCAAAAGCTATTCGGAAATGGCATGTCATAAGTAAAGGATGCCATTCCATCAATGTAGTCAAGCAGGAGATCTTAAGTAGCATTGGTCAGCTTGTGAAAGATCGTAAAACTTGGATTGTTAGCATGGCACGTTAGTTCCTACCGAAGGGAAAATGGTAATTTCATACCATATATATACACACATACACAAAATAAAAAAGATTATAATGAAGGCACAAAAAAACAGCCCCAACACTTTTTTTACAATCATGCTTCAAAAAGCTCGATCTTGACCACACTAGTGAAGAAAACGATCTTTCTCTGATCATAGCACTGTCAGGCATCCTTAACATGTAAGATCTTACAATCTTACGACCCAGTACTCGATCTTGACTATACTGGATGTCATGCCACTAAATGATCATATATATGACATATTCTCAGTATGGATCATAGATGGATTCACCAAATAGAAAAAGTAAACATGCATGGGGGAAAGCCAACACCACTAAGCACTATCTATAAACATCTCAGATGGAAGTCGGGACAAGTCGTGCATACTAAACCTAACAAGCAGAATGCCAACACTAAGTGATCAACAGTAGCATCATTTCAATTTAGTGTTCATCCAAATGAACGATCATAAAACCATAAACTAGAAACCAAATCTGTAAATTTCAAATAAGAGCTATACCCAAATATGAAAAAGAAACCATTTTGAAATCAAACAAGAGTCCAGACTCAGCAGCACTGTAACCATATAGTTGAGTACAAAACAAACTCACAAAGTGAATTCAAAAGGAAAGAATCACAAAAAAACACTTATATCGCAATACTTAAATTCATAAGAAATATTAATAAGTTGAAATCACAATAACAAAATCTATGTCCATCAAACAAGTTACAAAAGCAACCTAGAAGCTAACACATGAGCTGAAAATTCAGAACCACGTTAAGAAATTTCAAGTATAGGTAAAGAAAATCAGAGAAAAATCTAAATTTGACTATTAAATTAAAAAAAATGATAATAATCGCAGAATAGTATGATTTAAGAGAGTACCGATAAATGGATCTGGTGGTGGAAGAGAGGATACGAAGGGAATGAGAGATGAGAGGGTGGCGAAGGCGCGAGAGTGCCATTGAAGAGAATCAATCGAAAAAGCGTGCGCTGATCGATTCGATTGTTGTAATGTAAAGAGAAAAGAGGGTTGGTTTTGTTCAGTATTTTGTTTTGGTGGTAGGCGTGGTTATTATTTTAGAGTAATAAAATAGTTAAGGTTTAATACTCATCCTCCTTAACTTAAAAAAATACGAATTTTTTTCCTAAATGACTTAATTTTTCAAAAGAAAATTTTAAAATACCTTACTTTTAAAAAATATTTCTAAAGTACCCTAATTAGGGTTTGAGATTATCCAAGGACGTCATTCCAATTGGCAACTCTTTCTTAAGAGCATAAGGGTTTCGCCAATTGAATTGGAGACACTTTATGCAGTTTCCAATCCAATTGACAATTTGGTTATGGATTTAAAAGGGTGTCGCCAATTTATCTGGAGATTCTTTAGAATTTGAAATTTTTTTACGAAAAATAAATAATATTATCATTAATTAAAAAAACTATTACATAAACTAATGTTGGCGACTGGGTGAGTCATACTGGTCACCGATTCCACATCCCATAGGCACCCTAACTCGTTGTGTTCGGCCCCCTCATTGTTGATTCACGCCAGGTGTTTAGATGGTCCATGTTTAGATATGGGCACCATATGAACTGATTTGATTAGAGACCTTACATCTGCAGGTGATAGGTGATCCAAGAGATTGCGGTATTGAATAATACAATGTCTAGGGCACCTATTGTAAGCCATACCTGTCCCGAACTGGCCCAATGGCTAGGCATGGCCCAACCCACTTCTGCTCCCATAACGACTCAATTGCATAAGTCAAACCTCTTAGGGGGGAGTTTACCTTTCTACCCCTCTAACAGTGGAGGTTGACCTATTTATCCTTGGTCACAACACTTCTCTCTGTCAGTACCTGCCCGTCACGCACGGTTCCACCATCCATAAACAGCCAAAACGCTTGTGCCCATAACTACGCCCCTGCCCGTGCCAGCGGCTAGTTATGGGCACATCTGCCCGTCCCAACGGTTATTTCTGGCAGTTACCTATTCTTCGAGAAACGGTTATCTCGTCCCGAAAATAGGGATCAATGGCCAAGCGCTGAAGGCATTATAAAAACCCTCTCATTTGAGAGAGTTAGGGATACAATTTCTCACCTTGAAACACACATATTATGTACTTGCACGGTCTCTTGCTCGTTTTCTTACTTTAGCATCGGAGTGCCTTGCAGGTACACCTCCTCCTCCTTTTTCACCCCAGCATCACAGACGTTTTTCATTGGCCCATATCAGATTCTGATCATTCGGTAAGATCAGTGGCGCCGTCTGTGGGAAACTTGTTATCCCGTTTTTTCTCTCTTCATAAGAACGCAAGACCAAAACAATTATTCAATTTTCTGATCATGGTTGCCTGTGACAACAATCTTGATGCTCATAACTCTGCTTTCCTCCCCGTTAGCAAGATTGATGCTGAAGGGGCCTCCACCTCACATGGCGGCGACGTCCTTTGACGAATGGAAGGAGCCATGGCTTCTTCATCCCCCGTTCGTGCAGATCAAGGTGAAGCCCCACTTGTCCCGCAGCACCTGCCAGTTCCAATTCCACCCAACGCCGACCCGACCATGGAGGCCCTCCTCGAGGTTCTCAACAAAACCAACCTCCTAATCCTCAACCAGAGCGTGAGGATTGAAGCATTGAAAGAACTCTGTCATCCAAGATCCCCTCCACTGAGGAAAGAGCGTCAGCAGCGACGGGGTCCCCGTCCCCGGCACGAGAGGAACCGCCAAATGCCTCCGGAACCCGAGACTCTGACCATCCACAAACGCGACCATATTTCTCCCCGGAACCAGTAGTCCCCGCAGCCCAAGAGGACCCGAAGAGGACACCGGGTAGAATCTCCACGTTCACCACCTAGATCTAAGGGTCGAGCACAAACCACGTCTCTACGACGAGGCCACCGTCCCACCTATAGACGTGACACCCGCTCCCCATCTTGGACCAGCAGCAGTAACGACGACGAGCCTCGCGGCCCGTTGTCCCAAGAAATCATAGTCATGCGCCTCCCAAAGGGACTAGAGAAACCTTCTTCTCTAGGCACATATGACGGAACAACCGACTCTGACGAGCACATCGATGCGCTGTTTGACTATCGTGGCGTCTGGGGCGCCATCAAGTACATGTTATTCCCAACCACACTCAGGAAGAGGGCAATGGCCTGGTACAAAGGGCTCTTTGACGACTCCATTACCTCGTGGAGGCGACTGGGAAGACTCTTCTTCAGACATTTCACGGCTTCTCACCGACATCCGAAGACCGAAGCCTCCCTCGAGGCCATCATTCAGATTAGAGACGAACCCCTACGAGCCCATTGAATGGTTCAATAAGGAGGTCGTCCAAGTTTCCACCACTGATGACATGAAGAGGTTCCTGCTAGAGCGCGGGCTCCGTCCCCGCACAGACTTCGCCGAAGCTAAAGGCCTCCGCCCCCGGCAACACTGGATGTTTTTCTCCTTAAAGCTCAGTTATACATTCTATACGAGGAGAAAGATGTTTCCAGCTATGTTCGTGAGTCCAGACACAGGGAGAATGTCCGTCCAAACAGGACCGACGAGCCCTCGACATCCCGTCGAGGAGATAAAAAATGAGAAGGTCGTCCTCGCGAGACCTGGGACAACAAGGAACCCTCCGACAGGTTCCATGAATATATCCCTTGACAGTCTCGAGGGAGAAGATCCCCACTGAGTGCGCCAATTCAGAATTTCGCCAAGCAGGGGTCCGGTTCCCTAAGTAGATATTGTCCAAGCCCAACAACGATAAGTCCAAATACTGTCGGTTCCACAAGAGCCATGGCCATACGACGGAAGACTGCATCCACCTAAAGGATGCCATTGAAATACTCATCAGGGACTGGCATCTGAAGTAGTTCGCCAAGTGAAAGGAAGCTCCTAGACCAAACGCCCAAGAAGCCCAGAAGGTCGAGGAAGAAGCACCTTCATCCGGAGAAACCAGCCTACAAGTTGCCATGAGCATCTCACGACCTGAAGATTTCTGTGTTTCCGAGGGACTCATCGCCCCTCCATATTTTTCTGCGCACAACTCGTGGGAGACATTCCCCTCCTCCATGGTCATTTTTAGAGGAGGTTTCAATAGAGTGATGGTAGGATCCGTCAAGAGGAAATTTGAGCACCTCATCAGCAGTAGTTCAAACTGAAACTCCACCCTCAACAGGATCAGGGGAGAGTCCGTCCCCATTTGCTTTTACCACGAGGAGCTCCTCGGTGGAGCCCCCAACGCTAGCATCCTTGTGCTTGTCAGGGCTCAGATGGCAAATTTTGATGTTCGACGAATCCTCGTCGATCAAGGCAGCTTTGTCGATATTATGTACTCTCAATTGTTCTCCACTCTCCAGCTGGATGAATCGCATTTGACTTCCTACGTGGGCTCTGACCTACAAGGTTCCAATGGATCAGTGACAAATCCCTAGGGTTATGTTGAGCTGATTGTGACCTTCTGATCTGTAGAGACGACCAGATCAATTAAAGTACAATTCCTAGTGATAGATTGCCCGTCATTATACCAGTGCATCTTCGTTCGACCAACTATAGTCGAACTGGTGGTCGTACCTTCAACGGTACACCTGAAGATGAAATATTACACCTCCAAAGGCCTCGTCACAACTCTACACGGGGACATAGAAACCACAAGGAGATGTTTTGAAGTAGCGTCAAAGGGACTGAATGCAATCGCCGCCAGATCGAAGACTTCTACCCAGTCACCTCTGCCCAGCAACTCCGACGAGGCAAATCCTCTCCCTCACGTCGATTCCATTGACCTCGACAACCGCTTCTCTGAAGACGACCAGAAGATTCAGAAGGCAAAGGGAAAGGAGGTCCAGTCACATTCGAGCACCCCTTCCGATAGCAGCGAAGCAGCCTATCCAATACGCCTCATCCCAGATGGAGAATTCGATCTTGTCCCACTCGGTGAAGACCCCCGGCGAAGAGTGAATATTGGAGCCAGCCTTCCCGAGCTAGCGAGGAAACAACTGAGGGCATGCCTCCAGAAGAATGCAGACCTGTTTACATGGAGCGTCACATAGATGTTCAGATTGGACCCTGGGGTGGCCTGTCACCATCTCACCATCGACCCCACCGTCAGAGCAGTTGCCCAACGTAGACGATGACAGTCCTCGAAGAAAACGGTGGTTGCCGAGCAAGCTGTAAAAGACCTCTTAGAGACAAACTTTATATCAGAGTCCAAGTACTTCACTTGGCTGACAAATGTTGTACTCGTTAAAAAGAATAATGGAAAATGGCGCATGTGTGTTGATTATACCGATCTTAATAGGGCTTGCCCTAAAGACGCATACCCCCTCCCCAACATAGATAAACTTGTTGATAATTCCACCGGTTTGAAATTGCTATCTTTCATGGACGCCTATTCAGACTACAACCAAATACCCATGGCAAAAAGCGACAAGAAGTACACGACCTTCATGACCGAATCGGGCAACTATTACTACAACGTTATGCCCTTCGGCCTAAAGAATGTTGGCACTACCTACCAACGGATGATGAACAAGGTCCTCTGAGGAGAAATCAGGGATATGCTCGAAGTATACATGGACGACATGATCGTGAAGTCCCACGACGAATTCGATCACACGACCCACTTAAGGAAGGTTTTTGAACATGCTATGAAATATAGGATGCACTTTAACCCGAAGAAGTGCACGTTCGGGGTTCGAGCGGGCAAGTTCCTCGGTTTCTATCTAATCGAACGAGGAATTGAAGCTAACCCCGACAAGTGCAGGGCATTCTCCGAGTTCCCCATGTCGGATTCATAAAAGTCCATTCAGTCCCTCAACGGGATGCTCACATCGCTTTCCCGCTTCGTAGGCAAATCTGCCCAGCATGCTCTCCCCTTTTTCAAACTCCTCCGCAAGGAAGCCGCATTCAAATGGACATAGGAATGTGACAAAGCTCTCCTCCACTTAAAGCAAGCCCTATTCGCACCTCCAGT